GTTTGATACTCGTTGAAGACTTCGTGAGCTTTGACATCAAGTTGAGAGGTGGGGCTTTGAAGTCCCGTATTTGAGACACGCCCTACAGTTTTTTTGTGGAGATGCCGTCGCTTCACTTTGGGCTACTAATCTGAAGTATGACGCTTTAAATGGCATCGACCTTCCTTCGATGCCTGGCACATTTCAGGTCAACTTCTTCGAGACCAACGGGGCCTTGCATCCATGCCAGGGACGGCGGTGAGTCAGGCGGAGAGGTTCGTCACGCTCTTCCCCTATGAGCTGGAAGAGATGACCCTCCCGGAGGAAAAGGTGGGCCCCGTTCTTGTGGGATTGGGGGGCATTCTCCACGGCTTAGTTGGTGGGTTGGTTTCTTGGAGCTTTTGAAATGCCTGTTTGAGGGGACAAAGTTCCATAGTTCGATTGCTTTGCCAATCCAACCTCCCTGGCTGAGAGCAGAAAAGGCAACATGAGACATTTGGAGACATATCATTCTTGGAGCTAAACAGCCCAGGATACAGGATTCGCAGGTCACCTGGTGTGGAGCCACTGTGGAGCCATGTGATTCAAAAAGACATTCCCTTTGCCCAGATGGCAACTGCCCATGCTGATAAGTACCCTTGGCAAGGGAGCTTTGTGTAGGTGGAGGAGCGTCTTGGTGACGCGGGCGACAATGCGGAGCTCCCACCGAACTGTGTGCAGGCCGGAGAGTGGGGCATTTATATTGACAAAATTATATACATCAATGTGGGATTGAGGCGGCTAGGAGGTGAAAGGGTCAATCACAATATAGAATCGTTTAACGCTATATGAGTGTTATAGGATGCTATCCTGGACAGCGTCACCAGATTCATGCCACGAGAGCAAGCGCTCCCCTGTCAAATGCCATGGTGAGCTTGGCCAGAGGTTAATTGCTGATGGGTGAAGACGTTTTGCCAAGGTCACATGCCCTTGACGGGGCGTATGTATGCATATATATACATATTGAGTTACAGTCAGTAAACAATTACTACTATTTTTGAACAAGGCCTTTACTAACCATCATCATCCACTGTTACAGGTATTAGGATAGATCCAATATATACACAAATTAAAGTGCCCCAACTGTAGACCACTATGGAACATGGAACTTGCACTATATCTTGAAATAAGAAAAGATGAATAACACACTCATAATACCGTAGACTAGGCATTTTCTAAATATCTTG